ACCACCAGCTCTAAACGTAGACAGCTCCTCCATGCCAAATCACTCCCATCCATCTGTAACAGTAGGGGATTTCAACTGTCACCACCCGTCCTGGGGCTACCGTAAAAGCGACCACAATGGCGAAGAGCTTCATGCATGGGCCGAAAGAAACAATCAGCACCTGATTTTTGACCCTAAGGGAAAAAGCTCTTTTAGATCTGCCAGGTGGGGCAGCAACACCAACCCAGACCTATGCTTCGCGTCAGAAGACTCCGAGGGTAATAAAGTACCAGTAACTAGGGCCATCCTCAAAAACTTCCCCCGAAGTCAGCACCGACCTGCGCTGATCACCATCGGTGTCCAAATTCCTCTACTGAAATCGAAACTGGTACCTCGCTGGAACTTTGGAAAGGCGGATTGGAGCGCATTTTCCGCGGAAACTGACGCTACTCTACGCTTTATCAAACCTGACATCCTGAATTACACCCGTTTTACAAAAGCCGTCATAGCTGCAGCTAAACGTAGCATACCAAGAGGATTTCGTAAAGAATATGCTCCGGGTTGGTCAAGCGAGACCGAAGAGGCGTATCAAGAGTTTCTTTCATCGGATAACGCTGAAGCCGCACAAAAACTCTTGGCCTCCCTGGACGCAACGAGAAAATCAAAATGGGAAGCTAGCGTGCAAAGTATGGACTTCACGCATTCGAGCAAGAAAAGTTGGTCGTTATTGCGCAAATTAGGAGGTGCTCCGATGCACGAACACAAAACGCCACTAATTCAACCTGACGACATCGCGAAACGAATGCAGTCCCTTACTAAAGCAGCTAAGACCGACAGAACATTTGCAAGGGAAGTTCGCCAGCAAAACATCGGGCAACATCATTCATTACCCGCACTCGAATCCTATAGCCAACACTTCACACTTTCAGAGCTAAACACAGCTTTAAAGCTAATTAAAGCGAATAAAGCCGCCGGACCAGACCAAATTTACCCAGGATTTCTCATGTACCTTGGTAGAGTAGGCAGACGTTGGCTTCTGACAATGTTCAATCAGATACTAGACACATGCTCCCTTCCTGAGATTCTGAAGAGATCTAAGGTGATCGCTCTGTTAAAGCCCGGAAAATCGCCAGATGAAGCTGCAAGCTATAGACCGATTTCTTTGCTGTCTATCACCTACAAACTTCTTGAACGGCTACTGTATGGTAGACTTTACACCGCAGTCGACTCTGCAATCCCACCAGAACAAGCTGGCTTCAGAAACAACAGAAGTTGTGCCGATCAAGTCATGGCCTTATCTTCATACATTGAGGCTGGCTTCCAGCGTGGTCTCAAAACTTCCGTGGCTTTTGTAGATCTAAGCGCCGCCTACGACACAGTTTGGATCGAGGGTCTCCTACATAAAGTTGGGAAAATCATACCGTGCAGCAAAACCTTGGCATTGCTGAAGACACTACTGGGTCCCCGCTACATTCAAGTCAACTTAGGAGACAGTACCAGCAGCTACCGACTACTCAAAAACGGCCTTCCTCAAGGATCTGTTTTAGCACCACTGCTGTTCAACATCTATAATATCAGCGACATGCCGGACACAGCTTGTCAAAAATTCGCTTATGCTGATGACCTGGCTCTGGCGTTCCAGGCCAAATCCTTCGAAGATGGTGAAGCGGCACTAACCAGCGATCTAAAGGTTATGGGCGACTACTACACAAAGTGGCGGCTCTGTCCAAATCCCTCTAAAACCGAGGTCGCTGTTTTTCACCTTACCAACTGCCTAGCGAACAGGAAGCTTAACGTATCCTTCTGCGGAGTACCCGTTAAACATAACTTCACTCCTAAGTACCTAGGTGTGACATTGGACCGCTCCCTAACCTTCAAAGACCATCTGAATAATGTTGCGCAAAAACTGAAAACCAGACTGAACATCCTAAAAAATCTAGCTGGAACTACCTGGGGCGCCTCCGCCTCAGTCTTACGGACATCTGCTTTAGCTCTGGTTTACTCAACCGCGGAGTACTGTGCGCCCGTATGGTACCGAAGTGCGCACACAGATAAAGTCGACACCAAACTCCATGAGGCCATGCGGATTATAACAGGACTAATAAAATCTACCCCCCTTCCATGGCTCCCAGTCTTAGCGCACATCCCACCACCGGACCTGCGAAGATGCAACGCAGCAGCTACTGAGTGGCGCAAATGTTCGAGGGACTGCATGCCGATCCGAACAACTCTCGACCACACACCGTCACACCGCTTACCATCACGACACCCAATTTGGACAGACAAACGCCTGGAGACCAATTATGATGTTAAAACGGCGTGGCGGTCATCCTGGGAGCTTTTTGACCATCCTCAAAAGGATCTGATCACTGACCCAAACAAAAAGCCCCCTGGATTTGATGCTGCGCGTTCCACATGGGTGAAGCTGAACAGGTTTAGAACCGGGCACGGGCGATCCAACCACCATCTCCACAAATGGGGACTTAGGGAGTCACCGTCCTGCGAGTGTGGAGAGCCTGACCAAACCCTAGCCCACATTGTGAACGATTGCCCACTCCATCACCTAGCTGGCGGCATGTCCGAGCTGCACCGCCTCACCCCAGCGGCCGAAGAGTGGCTGAAGAACCTGAATATGAAGATATAGGATCCAGCGCAGAGAAACGCCATACGATATGATGATGACCCTGATGACGTTTTCATGAGTTACTGCAGTTTGAGGTCGGCCGGGTCTGGGGTCATCGTTTAGGTTCTCTCGACCACGTTTAAATTCACGGAACCAATAAGTTATTGTTGCTAGCGCAGGAGCAGACTCCCCAAAAGCAGCTTGTAAATTTTCGTGAGATTGCTTGAAAGTTAAACCTCGTTTATAATCATAGAAAATGATAGCATGAAAAGCTTCCCGCGGGACGTCCATTGTTGCGAACAAAAAAAGAGTAACAGATTATCTTCAAAAATATTTAAAAAAAAACTATTCATAGGTTGCCAGTGATTTTCACCATGCAGATTTATATTGAAATTTGCTGCCAGCTAAAAATAGTTTCTGGAGAAAAGAGATTATATTTACCCCGTGGCTAAAGACTTCCGGAACAGCCCACGTACAGCAGTTATTTCGTTTGTCGACTCGGCGTCCCACATGACAGAAGAACTGACTCCTGTATAAAATGATTTCTGCATCTCTTTAAATAAGCAGGGCTCTCTAAATAGTGAGTCATGTCCCAGTAGCTGTCGCTAAACAAAACACGCTGAAAAACTTAACATTAGTTGCAGCTTTTTTCGTATCTCGTACAGTTTCGAGGGCTCCTATTATTTCATGTGTTACCTTTGATAATTGACGTTCGTGTCAATCACCTTCTTAGTTACCTTATACAGCCGATGTGGCACAGTGGTCAGTATGACTGCCTGCCACGCAGAAGGTTCCGGGTTCAATTCCCGGTGGGGTCACTCACAAAGCAGATATTTATCACTTCTTCTTCTTTTCGTGTAAGACACCGAGTCGTTCAACGACCCGATGAACCCTGGCGTCAGAGTTTTTCAACCGCCTACTGCAAGTAGCAGGCCTATGACATGGTTGTGTAACGACCGCCATCATAGACAGCAACCGGGACCGACGGCTTAACGTGCCCATCCGAAGCACGGAACCATCTTACTTGCGGACAATCAGGTGGTTCAGCCTGCAATGTCCTAACCAGACTGGGAACAAATTCACAAAGTTATAAATATCAACTTTGTGAGTGACCCCACCGGGAATTGAACCCGGAACCTTTGCGTGGCAGGCAGGCATACTAACCACTGCGCCACATCGGTTGTCACTTTACTTTGTGATCGAAGTGAAGTGTGATTTGTGTGTGTATTTCTTTTACTTTACTATTTATCATTTTGTGAATTTGTTCCTAGTCTATTTATGACATTGCAGGCTGACTGAACCACCTGATTGCCCGAAAAGCAAGATGGTTCCACGCTTCGGATGGGCACGTTAAGCCGTCGGTCACGGTTGCTGTTTATGATGGCAGTTGTTACACAACCATTTCAGAGGCCTGCTTCTTGCAGTTGGCAGTTGAAAAACTCGGACACCAGGGTTCATCGGGCCGTTGAACGTCTCGGTGTCCCACACGAAGAGAGAGATTAAAATACTGTCAACGCCTTCTGGCGACGTGTGCGGGTATCATCGCCACTTTTAGTCCAATGATCCAATGCGTTATATTTTGCCCTTCTCTAAAAATTTACATTTCGGTGTTGTTTGTTTAATTTGCTAATAGCGATTTTTTCTTTTTGTAAACTTGTGAGTTTTAAGTATAAAAACAAGTCTAGTCTTATACAGCGTTTTCCTTCTAGCTGTTTGCCGCAAACTTCGTTTCATTTCGTTCCTTATACCTTTGAAAAATTCTTATTTCCACATGAGCGTTCAAAAATGTGTACTCTGAATATCCATAACGCTAATTATGTATAAATTTGTGGTTTCTTAAACCATAGTTGCATTGCCAGCTGATTCCAGCAGAAGCATCCATCGAGCTGAACAATTTTTGATTTGAGAGCCATTTCAATATCTCCTATAGTTTAGCTGAGCTTCTGGTGGTGCACCTGGTGGTCGACATCAGGTACTCCAAACCTTCTATGTCTATTTTCCAGCAGAAGCGTATCATCAAGTTGAACAACTTTTGGAGTCATATCTGTATATCATATCTTATAGTTTAGCTGGGCTCCTAGTGGTGCACCAGGTAGGCCTTTATCATGTATTCCAAACCTTCGATGTCTGTTTGCCAGCAGAAGCTTGCTATCAAGCTGAAGCCTTCTGTTTTTAGATAATTTCTGTATCTCTTATAGTTTAGCTGGGTTTCTGGTGGTCTACATCAGGTACTCCATACAGTCCATACCGTCGATTATCCAATTTTTTATAGTTTTCCTTATATGTGGACAGTACAACTTAACTCTGTACCAAATTTCAGCTCTCTGAGTTCATGGGAAGTACTTTTTTATTTTATTGGGATTCTCACAAGTGAAAATAAGAAATAGTAAAAATGTCATACATCGACCGGGAATCGAACCCGGGCCGCATGGGTAAACGCCCCACCGCTCTGCCACTGAGCTATCGATGCACCGGTTGATGAATGCCAAAAGTTCTAAATACTTTCTACAGATGTCGCTGGATCGTCGCTTGGAGACGAGCATCAAGAGATAGATAATTTTATTTTGATGATCATGAATAAATGAGTGATTAAGTGTCAATGCGAAGACACAACTGCATCGGTCAACAACGTCAGAGGTCAACCAAGTTCTTCTTATTCGTGTGGGACACCAAGTCGTCCAATGACCCGATGAACCATGGTGTCAGAGTTTTTCAACCGCCTACTGCAAGTAGCAAGCCTTCGATATGGTTGTGTAACGACCGCCATCATAGACAGCAACCGGGACCGACGCCTTAACGTGCCCATCCGATGCATGGAACCACGGCTTTTTGGACAAGCAGGTGGTTCAGCCTGCAATGTTCTCACCAGACTGGGAACAAATTCACAAAGTGCTAAATATCAACCTTGTGAGTGACCCCACCGGGAATTGAACCCGGAACCTGCTGCTTCGCAGGCAGTCAGTCAACCAAGTTAGGCCTACTTAACCAAGTCAGGGGCCTTTCAACTATATCAGAGTTCTACAGAACCACGTCAGAACTATCAAAACCCTTGTAAAGTACCTGTCAACTATAGCAGAGATATTTCAACCATGTCAGGGTCTTTATTAACCTTGTAAGGGATTTGTTAATCATATCAGAGATCTGCCGTGTGATGCCGGCTTAGAATAGCATCACCCCATTTCTTTCCTGTGGGTGTCGTAAGAAGCGACTAAAGGAGTCGAGGGTTTCACGTGTATAGCAATTTTAGGCGACTGGCTGACAACCTGTCACTATAGCGATACACGACAATAGCTAAAACGGCCCTCAAAGATTTGTCAGACGTGGCGATAACGACCGTATTTTTACGGCCGTTGACGCTCTGCCTACCCCGCAAGGGATAAAGGCGTGATTTATGTATGTATGTATGTATCAGAGATCTGTTCTCGATGTCAGAGGAATACTTAACCATGTCAGGGGCTTATTGACAGGCCCCTGCCTTTTTATAAGTAGGCCTCTGACATGGTTGGTTAACAAGCCCTGATATGGTTAATAGGCTTCTGACATCATCGTAACAACGTAAAATGACAACATACTTCTGATCTGATATGATTGACAAACCTCTGCTCTGCTACAGTTGTCAGGCCTCTGATAGGGGTGCTTATGGCTCTGGCTTGGTTCTGTAGAACTTACCTGTTTTAAATGTTGCATGCTGATAAGGACTAACTTTTCCCAAGGAAAATCAAGACGTCATAGGACGAAATCTGAAAAATATTTTTGGACCTCCCTTACAAAATTTCCGATAAGCTGATTCAAGTTCCTATGGGAGGACCTAATTTATTTCCATATTTACTCCATCCATACCCTGGAATGCCTTTCCGGTACTATGCCAAATTTCATGAAGATAAGCGGTTTGGCTACATGACAGATCGACAGACAGAAAAACTGAGTTTATACTAAAGATTAAGTGAGTTGACGGAAATAGGTGCAAATATATAAGTATGGCCCAGTTTCCGACAAAATTAACAAAAATTTGACGAGTACTGGTACAAATCGGGTTTGGGATGTACCAGTACATGTCACCCTAAAAAAAGATACTTTTTGCCAATAACCATCTCATATTTTTGTTAAACTCGATAGAACAATAAAATAACTTTATAATAAAACAATCACATTGACCGTATTGTCCATCAATAACTTGCAATACCACGAAGTTTCCGATGCACCACACTGAAAATTCAAGCACCGAATTTCCGAAATTTACGAATTTTTTTGGATTTCTCACTTTTAACAACGATTTGCGCCGACGCTGACAAGTAGAAAACATAATGATTCTAGTTTTATTATTTGCAAATATACCAAAAATATGCTGATTCACAAAAAAACTCATTATAAGTTCTTAATAATTAAATAAAAGGCTTTAAAAGTAAAGTGACGAGTACTGGGACACTGTCGACATTGTGTACACTTACCTTATGTAAAGATGTATGTATAGATAGATACCAAGAGTAAAAAAGAATTGAAGACAGAAGTATTAAACTTACGGTTCATATTAGTAAAATACCAAACATATTTTAGTACATTTTATTTTACTTTACCAAAAAAATGTCTTTTAGAAATTACCATTACAAATTAATAGGCAGTTAACTACCTTAAAATGTTAATTCTTAAAACTAGAACACGTTGTTAAAATAACATTAAAATATAATGAGCAAAAAGTAATTCACTTTAACAAAAAGAGATCTTAAAATGGAAATAGGTAATGTCCAAAAATATTAATCGTAACTAAAGGAGATTCATTGGAAAGCATGCATTTTGTACATGAATCTTAATACTAAAAATATCTTAACTAAGAAATAAATAATGTACACAATTTACTAAAGTTAGCCTTAGGTATTATATACTGAGTATTAATTGAGCAAATATAGGTGTGGAAAATTACATGAATTAATCTACGAAATGCATTTAACGAGATCTTTGGTGTTAAAAACTACCAACTTTGTCAAATACCATGTAGGTACGAGTACTTTACTTATATTATGCTACATTTAGCAAACTTTGGTCCGCTTTTAATATCATAGTTAATTAATTAGCTACTACTCTCTCTAATGTGTTTAGAACACAGGAGAACAAATATTTTTTTAAGTACTAATAATTATAATAGTTACATGCGTTAATCTAATTATAGCCCCCAATGCTCAGTTTTTATTGGACTGTTGGTCAGACAAAGGACAGGGTAGTGAAAATACATAAAATAATATAGGTTACATTTAATTAAGTACAAATATTTTGAGGGCGCGTTCTACTCACGAAACTTCGCTTCGAAATATGAAAAAAAATTTGGACCGCCCATACAAACCATGTTGAAAAAGTTCGTCACTAAGTATGGGCGGTCCAAATATTTTTTTCATGAAAAAAAAAATCAGAAGATATCTTAGTTTTGTGAGTTAAACACGCCCTTAAAAATGTGTAGGTACTTAATTAAATTAAATGCCTTAAATTATATTTCGCAGTTGCAAAATGAAAAGTCTAACGAAGTAAAATAGGAAAATAATATTGTCAAATTCGCAAATGCCCAAAGCCGCAAAATGTTAATCAAATTCATAAAAAGTTAAAATTTGCCATTTCTATAAGAAAATATTCACATTATTAAAGTAAAATCATTTTGAAAATGAAAGCTGAGATATAACAGTGTCTAAGCAAACTTATTCATTAAAACTATACCATAGTTGCTTAGATACAGTAATATTTTTTTGTTAAACTGAAACTTTTTTTATAACAATTTGTATTATAGTAACATCGGCTCTTTACTTTATGTCCTAAAACAAGCATGGGGGATAATTGGATAACGAAACTAACCGAAAAACAAATAAAGAGCTAAATAACAGTCTCTTAATTTGAGCACGAAAAGTAAAAATAATAAATTGCAACTCAAAGAAGGTACAGTCTCTCCCGCTCGCTCATGAACAATCCAGGTTGCGATTTTTTTCAGACTGTAACATTTTACAGCAATAATAATTGTTTTTTTTTAGATGCAGCAACCTTTATTGAATTGTTCAACATAGTTTTTGACCGACTTGTCGGTATCAATCACAAACAAAAATTGAAACCTTAAAATAGAATTGTTCATGAGCTAGAGTGAGAGACTGTACCTATATATTCTTATCTAAAATATATATTCTACGTGCTTAAGTATATAATCTATTTATTATTTAGTCGTGTTCAATAACTTAGGTTCAAAATATTTGGTACGTAATCATGTAGGTATTCGTATTTTTCCTTCTCTGCATGATTTTATTCTATTTCAATGTAGATAGATACATTTCCACACACTTTTCTACTTCTTTTCTCTTATTCTGCCGATTCGTAGGAGTACAGGGAGGGCGAAAGGAAATTTTCGATACAGTCCCAAAAATTAAAGGAAGGATAAAAAAATTACCCTTAATTTCTATGAAATATTAAGTTGGAAATGGCCTATCCTTTATTTACCTCCTTTAGGGAATGTACCTATCGATAATTACCGTTACCCTTTAAAGGTCGCGACTACCTATATGCGCTGTAACCTAGGCACAGTCAGTTTATCCCTGATACATCTCAGTGTTGCAAGCTTGGCTGGAGAGCTCGGGACCATTTGTTCCTCGACCCTCCTCATCGGCCTGGTAGGTGGTATACAAGTGCGTGGCACGTTGGTGATATGGGGATGGGTTTTAACGTGCTTTCTGAGGGAGGACGGATCAGTGTAGCGCTTTCCGCAGCCAGCCGCACCACAGGCGTAGGGTCTCTGGATATCAAACAAACAAATTACAATTTTGGTACTGGTTCTCTAAAACTAGGTCAATATATTTTGCAGGCATACCGCATAATGTTTCCGAGCCTTATGCGGAGCTTCGGGTAGAAATTGTCTACTTACAGCGTTGAAATGTGTCCGTTGATGCTTTGCTCTATCTGAGGAGTTTGAAAACGCCTTCCTGCAGTGCGGGGCGAGGCAGGCGTAAGGTCTCTCGCCCGTGTGGGATCTCACGTGGATTTTCAGGTTCTCTAAACGCGAGAACGCCTTGCCGCAGCCGGGGTGCTATGAAACAAATAGTATTTTGAGATATCTTTTTAGGGTTGGCTCTTGAATTGCCCTTGCCTTTCACTAACTTCAATATATTTTTGGAAACTAGTAATCAATATTAGAATGTTATAATACTTACATGACATCTATTTGGTTTATGTCCTGAGTGTACCCTCATATGAATGAGAAGCTTGTAGCGTGCGTTGAACGGGCGTTTAGCTCGAGTGCAATCCCTCCACAGACAACTGAATTCATCACCTGAAATATTTTCAATTACATAATAAATGTCAGGTTTTTAAAAGATGGTTAGATGGTGTCGTCTAACGACCTAAGGTCCGCTAAATACCACTACGACATAGCGTCTTCAGTCTTACCTTTGTATGTGTTGACATGACATCTTTCAATATGTTCAACCAGTGTGCTTTGGTTTGGATATC